AAGTACGCCTCACATGTACTCCTGGCAGGAGAATGAGAAAGGGTTACAATGACTAGAGTATTTGTAAGGGTAAGTGTTGACTTGGACTTGAACCAGGATTTGTCTTGGCATCACAGAGAATATCTTCCTTGGTAGGCTACTGGTTGCTCTTCTTTAACACTGCTCCATCTTCCTCTTTCCACTCCTGAAGAAGCCTGTAGTCATTACTGTACAACTTCAGAAGCGGGGTGAATCTTCAAGGTTTCTGTAACTCTGTTACGTTGTAACAGCTAAAGGGTTTAATTTGAAATAAGATGCTGGGCTGCCTGGCTCTCTATGTATATCTATATTTTCAAAAAGTTTTTAAGAAATATGTTTAGAACAGCTAGTGCAGTTCTTCTCACTAGTAAGTGATGGGTATTTTTCCCTTAGTCTTCACAATACTCTACAGTATTTTTTATCCCAGTAATAATTTTCTCTTCCTCCTCCACAATCCTCATGTTGGTTCTTCAGAAACACTTCAACTTTCAAAGGATTTCTGCTATAGTATATCTCCCAAGTCTTTTGACTTGGGATCATGCTGTCTATATTAGCTAATTTTGTATCAACTCTTCTTTGCCTTGTATTATCCACTAGCTCTTACTATCAATCAAGGTGTTACTACTTGCTGTTGAAAAGGGATATTTAGACAGCAAATATTTAGGTTTTACTTTTTCTTTTTTTTTTTTTTTTTTGGTGAGAGTTTCTCACCATAGTGAGAAGTGGCTCATACTGTCTCATATGGGGTATATATGTAATGGGGGAGTATGTGCCAATGTAAGACTGTGAAAGTGAATGTAAAGAATGTAAAGTATGATGATTAAAGATTTATTATTTACTATTTGCCTTCCAGAAAGGGCCACAAACATTTGCAACAGTGTTAGTGAGAATCATTCTGGTGACTAAAAGGTTTTTTTCGAGGGGTAAATTTGGCAGAATTTTAGTGTAGTTACTTGAGTGAGCAGATTTTCCTCTTGTGGTGATGTCCTGTTTATTGCGTTAGGTACCATGAACCGTTTTGGTCATAAACATGTAACAACCAAAGAAAGTCGCTTATGGGGAAATGTGACTGCTTATACTATGGACTTTTGCTCATGTACTGACTTGTTTAATCTGATGCTGGAAACAGCTGAACTTCCACTGTTAAATCAATCTCTTTCCTTCTTCTCCATCTTCTTTCCTACATCCTTTCTCTCCCTCCAACTCTTCACTTACAATGTCATGCAGGCCTTGAACAGAGGAACCCCCTTGTTTGTTTTTATAAGCTTTCCATCCACTTTCCTTTTTCTACTGCCAGTATACACCAAGCAGCTGAGGAGAGATGTGTAGCTTGCAAATCAAGCCCTAGCATTTCATGAGAACACCTAGGACACATCTGCAGTGCTGTATTAGAATCCTGATTATGCTGAGCTTTGGTCATGGGAGTAGACACAGGGGGTGTAAGTGGCTTGTGCATGGGCTGGCTACTCAACCTGAAGTGTAGATGCTTGGTTTGACTTTCTCAGTGCTAAAGAGAGGGAGACCTTACAGGATCTAGCAGCCTTCCAGGATCTGAAGGGGGCCTACAAGGATGGTGGAGAGGGAGGCTTCATTAGGAACTGTAGTGATAGGACAAGGGGAAATGGGTTTAAACTTCAGCAGGGGAAATTCAGATTAGATATAAGGAAGAAGTTCTCTACTGTGAGAGTGATGAGGGACTGGAAGAAGTTGCCCAAAGAAGTGGTAAATGCTCCATCCCTGGTGGTGTTCAAGGCCAGGTTGGACAGGACCTTGGGCAACATGGTCTAGCGTAAGGCATCCCTGTCCATGGCAGGGGGGTTGGAACTGAATGATCTTAAGGTCCTTTCCAATCCGAACCATTCTGTGATCAGAATTCTGCCCCCAAATGATTTAAAAGCTACTGGTCTTATGCAGCCATTCTGACAGACCTGTGGCATGTGTGTAAGTACTATACACATAACATATGTTTGCTGCTGAAATCTTGTTGAAAAATGTAAAAAAAAAGTCAAATGCTTTTATCTCAACTGAGATGGCTATAGGAGAGAACTAGCACCTTACTGTTTATAGTTTAACAAAAATACTATTTATTTTTTTTGCAAATATAAGCACATTTTTTGCAAACACATACAGATTTTTGAAAAGAAGCTGATTTTCCAAGAAGGTGTTAGAAAGGAAACTTCCATTTTGTAGAACAGAACTGTAAATACTAGCAAACATTTGAAAGTACTTTGACTTAAATTATGATTAATTCATAAATAACCAAGAACTATGTTAAAAACCTTGTTTAAACTTAACCACTAAAATCAAACCCCATGATTTATTCATTTTGATCGATGATGTTTTTATATTGTGATATAGCAGGCTAAGTACAATGATTTATGCAAAGTACTAAACTTGGAATATTTTAACAATCATTTAAGAGGATCTAAGATCAAATGGTGTACATCTCACTGTTTTTGCTTTATTCATGCATAATGTACATTGAATAGCCAAGTGTCCACAGGAAAACAGAGATGGGATCAGCATTAGCCATGCCCCTGTTCATATGTACAGAACACACTTAAAAATATGTTGAAAAAACCATGGTCTTCACCAGAACATGAGGGTGCTTGGCACCTCTGTAATACTTCACAGCACTCCAATGCCTGCCCATCAAGTAAGGTTGCAAGCAAGTACTTGCTCTTAGACAAAATTTTGGCCTATAAATATGTATTTATGCATGCTGTGGACAATTCCTCTCCATGAAATGATGAAAAAAATAGAATTCATAAGACAAACTCATACAGTAAAAAATCAATAACATACCTAATTATGCATGAGCTCTTTATGTGTGAAATCTGAGCGCTTGGTTCATCTGTGTCTTTAGAAATTAACTTATTTTTCTGTCAGTTTATAGAAACCCCACTACACAGTAACAGATCATTCCGGAATCTTTTTTTGCTTCTGGGGGTGGGGAAGTTTTACATTATAAATAAACTTCAGCAAAGGTAAGGATCTGTCCGCACTTGTTTCCATTTAAATACATAGTATTGCATATACCTAAATGCAGGCTTGGGATCTGTTCCTCAGACAAATCACTGTCATAATTGCTTTGGATAGGTATTATCTGTTTATACCATGAATATTTCGGCCACAGTGCTCTGGGGCCTAATTTCTGCCACCATCAATCAGTGCTACTGAAATTCCAGTATTATTTAGTAATTGAAATCCTGAACATTATACCAAAATTTTTAAGCCCAGCTGAATTAAACAGTTTATGCTGAGTAAAGAGGGAAGAATTTAATGCTACACTGAGCCATATTAAATAGGAGAGACGGCCAAGTCATAACAGCCAGCTCCTGCTTTTGTGTTCAGAAAGCATTTTGTATAAACATTATAGAAAACCCAGAAGATAAAATCCCATTTAAAGTGAAAACACCAAATTCCTGTAGGATTGTGTAAATTATTCATGAAACTTTCAAGCTGTGAGCTTTAAGCTAATACTGTGGTGCAAAACATGGGCCTTGCTTTCTTTATACTCATTTCCTTTAATAACCAAGTACAGAGATATCCTGTTAAATCCAAATACCCAGTTTTTGCAAAAAAACACTTAAAACTCTTAACGCTGCAATACAGTCACATTTTGAAAACCTGAAATGGTTAATTTTGTCTTTCCTATGTACTGCAAAATACAGCACATACTCAATGCAGATTTTGGCTAAAACTGTTGGAAACTGCATTATTTTTTGCCATTTTAGGGTATCATACTGAATGATACAGCTAAATTAATAGATTAGTATTAATTGTCTGTAAAGCAGGTCAGACGCTTTGGTTTAAAGCATTCATAAGAATGTAGAGCTTCACTGTAACATGAGCTTTAATTATAAAGTAAACAACTTTTTTAAAGACAAACTTTTTCAAAGTCATTTAAAAAAAAGCCAGGAGGATACATCTGTAGAAATCTATACCCACACACGCGTGCCAACATAATACTCCTTTAATACATAAAATTAAAAAAGCACTTTGTATAAATCTGTAAAGAGTTCCAGCTTCAGGAATCAATGCCAACACAAAACAAAGATCATAATCTGGCAGCAATTTAAAGTTTCCTATTAAAAAAGAAAATGGTAGAAGCCTTCTAAACCCAAAATACTTTTTCTCAATCCAGGAAAATACGTATTTTAAAGAGTGAATAAACTGGTATGATGTCAAATTGCTGGAACTTTGCTTCTGTATTTTTCTTGATCAGGATTGATTGATTTATTGCAGGTGCTGTAGGTAAAAAAGATTTTTCTTCATCATGATGAAGGAAAGGTGGTCACTGTGTGGGGGGACGGGAGAAAGAAAACTAAAACCGTGAAGCATTATGTGAGAGATATACCAAGATTTTCTTGCTAACTTCTTCATAATAAATGCCAGAATTTGCTTTGCACGTAGTTAGAGGAAGAAGAGAAAATACTATGCAGAAAGTGAAGTGAGCAATGCAGTCTTGCTTCCACAGTCCTCACATCTGGGTAAAGCAGCAAGGCTGGCTGGAGAACTGAACAGATGGCAGATGGGGAAGGAGAATAAGACAAGCCTTCTTTGCAGTCCTTCTCCAAGTGGTGCAGTTAATCATAATCATAGAATCACAGAATGGTTTGGGTTGGAAAGGACATTAAACATAATCTATTTCCAACCCCCTGCCATGGGCAGGGACTCCTTCTGCTAGACCAGGTTGCTCAAAGCTCCATCCAACCTGGCTGTAAACACTGCCAGGGATGGGGCAGCCACAGCTTCTCTGGGCAACCTGTTCCAACGTCTCACCACTCTCACATGGAAGAATTCTTCGTAATATCTAATTAGTTAGCAGTTAGCAAGCTTTGAAAGAATACAGAGTGCCTCCCAGAGTAACAACTTCAGATTAATTAAGGCCTAATTAAGTATAAATAGCTTGATTTTGCAATGTTTTTTATTGTTATCTCTATACTTAAAAAAAAATAATCCACTATTACTAGGGTTTTAAGATTTTAGCCTGCTATTTCACGAATATCCCAAATGGAAAACATAACATGCATATTTGCCTTTTAGACTTCCTTCTAAAAGAAAAAACACATATGAGTTAATAAACTGAAGAGAGATAAATTACATCATTGATGTACAGGCACAGTTTGGGAATCACCTAGCTGATGGATAAATGTAGAGAGCCCTTGGGAAACCCTCCCTCCCCCATGCTTGCCAGGTTTAGGAATATCCCACGCTATTTGAAGGAGTGGCACGACTTGCACCACTAGTAAAAGAGCATCGCTTACGTAGTGCTTCTCCACTTTCCTGTCCTGGCTATGGCCCGGGTCCATGCACCACTGTGCCTATGTGTACAGCAGACAGGGGTGCTTTCACTGTAAGTTTTCCCATTTTCTGTGAACACCTTAAAATACTCTACCAGCATTGTTCAGACCTCTCAAGTGTGTCAGCTGTCGGTATCAGGCCTCAGCCCAAGAATTAGTGTGCAGCTGGAGGAGTGGGTGGCAGCCTGGGTTGGGCTGGAGGCAGCCACCATGACACGTTCGTGACAGCTTCCCCGACAGCAGACACTGTGTGTTTGGAAGTTCAAGTTTCATCATGTGCCACAGGTTTAGGAGACATCAAGATCAGGGCTTGGCTGCTTAGGTTTAACATTTCTGGCACTAAAATAACTGCTACACCAGGTGCAACTGTCTCAACAGTGTTCTGTTTCAGTGGCAAAACACCCTGAATAAACCTGTCACAATGTGAAACAAAATGCATAGGCTTCAAAAGTAACTCTTTTAGGACCGTGTTACTCAAATGTAAACATACAGAACAAGTGCTGTGAGGTTACCCTGAGCAGTCGGACAGTCAGCGCAAGATGGGTTCAAGGTTCTCAGCCGATGCAATGTCCACTTATGGCTGGACCAGGAGGTGGCTTCTCTTCTTCTTGGTGCTGTGCCAGAGATGAAAAGCACAGGTTAGAGGGCACTGAAGATGCTGTAAACCCTAGGCTGGGACAATCCCAAACCCACAGTGTAGACTGAGAGCCACCCTCCCAGAGCAGCACTCCCCAGAGTGGCAGTGGCTGGGCCCTTACCCGCTTCCGCTGCTCACTCAGGCAGAAGGTGCAGATGGGTCGCGGCGCGGCGGTGCCTGGCGGCATAGGCTGCGGGCAGGGCTGGGCGGCCGCCGTGCCCTCGGCCTGCTGCAGCAGCAGCACGTTGGCCAGGTGCGCGATGTAGCTGGCGGCCAGGCGCAGCGTCTCCACCTTGGAGAGCCGGCGGTCTGCTGGCCGGGTAGGGATGAGCCGGCGGAGGGCGCCGAAGGCCGCGTTGACGCTGTGCGTGCGGTCCCTCTCCCGGGCGTTGGCCGCCGCCCGCCGCCCCCCGCCGCAGCCCCGGGCCCGCCGCCGCCGCCTCCCGCCGCCCGAACCCGCCGCCCCCCCGCCGGCCTTCATGGCGCCCTCCACCGCCCCGCCGCCCCATGACTTTTATGCGCGGCAGGTGCCGCATCGCCCCTGCTCGCCGGGGCCCCGTGTCCCGCCGGCGGAGCGGCGGGTCGGGCTTGGCGCGGCTGCCGCTTTTAGCCGGGGGCCGCCGCCACTGCCACCTGTCGCCGTGGCCGGCACCAGCTCCCCCGCGCCTCCACCTCCCGGGGGCTCCTCCGCCGGGCGGCCGGAGGCCGGTTTGTGCACGTCCCGGAGACTTGTCCTTGCCGGCGCCCTCCGGCCGCGCTGGGGTGGGAGCCTCGAGGCTGGGACGCTCCTACTGGCACTGCTCTCCACGCCCGCCAGCGTGAACGGCCCTTCTCCTGGCACAGGGTGCACGGACAAGCTCTTACGGGCTTCACCATTTCTGCTCCAGCTGTGTACATGTGTGTGTATGCGTATATGTACAATGTGTATGTACGTGCATATATGTATGTAGATCTATATGTACATGCAGATGTATGTGTATATCTGTATTAGTTGGAGAGGGCTGCTGGAACAAGCACAGGGGTGGACTTCATTACCTCCCCAACAAATGCTAGACGCACTTACAAATCCAGTTTCTCATTCTGTTCAGAAACTCTGCTGCCTCAACCATTTACTTATTAAAAGGTCATCACAAGCACTGGTTGATTACACCTCTTTTCTCCATAAATTTTGACAGCCTGTTGGCACTCAGAAACTCATGAAAGGTCAAGGTGCAGGTTTTCTCAAATGAGTCGTCTCTACCTGATCAGCCTTGACTGGCTGCGGTTTTTTTATGGTCCCAGAAGCTTATCTGTGGTGGTGCTGTTGTGTAAATATTCATCCTTCTTCCCAAATCAGGGCTGGATTAGCAGAGTCATATCTCTTTAATTATGGGTGCACACACTTGGGGCAGACAGCTGCTTTGACATACTTGGCTGGGAGTCATGCACTCTGAAAATACAACTGGTACCCACAGGCAGGGCCACATCCCTCTCTGCCCTATGTTCAGCTGCTGGTTTATGTTTGTTCCACTTTCCCTGTGGGCAGAGGTTGTAAGCAAAAATTGACAAGCAGCTCTCCATGTTAGCTGGTTGCAACTGTACCATACCTTGGCATAAAAGCAATGTGATTTTTATTTATATTACTTGGGAGAGAGAGGGGGAAATATTTTTGATTTCCCATTGGACAGCATTTTTGATATTTTTGTGAGTTCTGTAAGGAACTATTGATGCAATAAACTTAGTTCTAGGTTGAGGCAGTGTGATAGCAAAGGCTGCAGAAATCCGAGGCTGGGTGGGCAGGTGTGTGCTGTGCCACTGATCCAATCCAAGAGAAGGATTTCCTTCTTTTGGAGTACAGAGCAGGATGTGGCCCTTCATCATCAGATGCTGGGGCAAGCAGTGTCCAAAATCATGCAAATGATAGTTTTCCCTAGAGTATGTGAATATAACTGTATCCTACTTCCATAGCGCTAATAGCACTATCTTCTTTCTGCATAATCTTTTAATAAGTAAATGATCTAGAAAGTTCTGTTGAAATTTCAACGCTTGGAAGTGCTGCTTTTAGTTTCCTGGGAAGTGATGTTCTGAGGTAAGCTTGCATTATTTCTTGTGTGGGTTTCTCCCATTTAGTATATACAGTATTTCTACAGTGAAATTCTAGCTCAGTTGAAGTCAATGACAAAAATCCTGTTGACTTTAATGGAAACAGGACTTCACCCTTTATATGTTCTGGTAGCTGAGCTGTGCAGATAATTGATTGTTTGTCAGACTCAGTCATTTGCTTACCAGTGTTTTCCTGTCCTTAGCATTTCAGTTTCTTTGGGGTTTTTATTACTGGAAGTAAAACAAAACACAACCAAACTCCCCAAACAAAAAGAATCCCAAGACAAAACTACTAGTAGTATTATCAAAATCAGGATTTATGGATTAGTGGTAAACTAGAAGAATGAGAAAAGGAATAAGCGATACTTGGGAAGAAAATGATGCTGTGTCTGCAGAGGAAAACAAAGCGATTTTCACTGACATTACAGCAATAGCTAATTCAGGGGTTAAGGACAAAGGGGTGACTGAATCATTCTTCCTCTGTTTCCAAGGCAGTTTGAAAAATTAGAGCAAGAAATGAGGTGGTTTTTATTTTTTCTATTTCAGATAAGGAGACTTGTAAAAGAGCCAAAATGCTGGGGACTTTAATTACGAGGTTATTGATTCAGGTAACATTTATGCAAGTGCTAGAGGGAGCATACTCCTCAAGGAAGGTGCAGTAACACAAGGTTGCTCTTATTTTACAATTTGCTGGATTGCTAATAAGAATCAAGAATGAGGCTGCATGAATGTAAAGCAGAAGAGCGGGCAGTATTTTGTGTGTAGTAGTAAGGTTTTGCCTGATATTTGCATTTGTGCTACTCAGAGAAAAGTACCCGATGTCCATTGTAAGGAAGCATTTAACGATATTTAAAAGACTGGAAATATGAAGTATCCAGTTGATACAGTTGCTAGTATTTCTTTAATTTGCCTTTATTTTTTGAAGAACAGTAGTAATAGGAAGTACATAAAGGAAAGAAGGATTTGGAAGAAGACAATTTGGAAAAGTTCTGCCTATGAAGAGAGCAAGTTAATTAGAGGATAACAAAAGAAAGGAATCTAAATAAGAGGCCCAGAATGTCTGTGGTCACAGCCAAGAAGCCTTCTAAATTTATTTCCATTAAATAGAAATTATAACCCCAAATTACTGCACCTGTAAAAAAAAAAAAAAAAGGCATTTAGAGACAAAAATGCCTTTAAAAAGCAGTACTTGAATGTTTACAACATCATTCTGTGCCTGAAGGTCAACTGCAGTTAGTTTCTCTATTCAAGAGCATAAATACAGCATAATTCTATAGACAGTTTTTTTCTATTTTGCATAATTGCTCATAGAATTATAGAATAGAATCATAGAATAGTTAGGGTTGGAAAGGACTTTAAGATCATCAAGTTCCAACCCCCCCTGCCATGGGCAGGGACACCTCACACTAAACCATGTCACCCAAGGCCCTGTCAAACCTGGCCTTGAATACCGCCAGGGATGAAGCATTCACAACTTCCCTGGGCAACCCGTTCCAGTGCCTCACCACCCTAAGAGGAAAGAACTTCTTCCTTATATCCAATCTAAGTTACCCCTGTTTAAGTTTTAACCTGTTACCCCTTGTACTATCACTACAGTCCCTAATGAAGAGTCCATCCCCAGCATCCCTATAGGCCCCTTCAGATACTGGAAGGCTGCTATGAAGTCTCCACGCAGCCTTCTTTTCTCCAGGCTGAACAGCCCCACTTTCTCAGCCTGTCTTCATATGGGAGGCGCTCCAGTCCCCTGATCATCCTCGTGGCCCTCCTCTGGACTTGTTCCAACAGTTCCATGTCCTTTTTATGTTGAGGACACCAGAACTGCACACAATACTCCCAAGTGAGGTCTGCTGCTCTGAATCTCTTCTCTGCCCAGCCTGTAGCTGTGTCTGGGATTGCTCCGACCCAGGTGTAGGACCTTGCACTTGGCATGGTTAAACTTCATGAGGTTGGCATCAACCCACCTCACAAGCGTGTCAAGGTCCCTCTGGATGGCATTCCTTCCCTCCAGCGTATCAACCGAACCACACAGCTTGGTGTCACCGGCAAACTTGCTGAGGACGCACTCAATCCCACTGTCTATGTCAGCGACGAAGATGTTAAACAAGACCAGTCCCAACACCGATCCCTGAGGGACACCACTCGTTACTGGTCTCCAGCCGGACACTGAGCCATTAACCACAACTCTTTGTGTGCGGTCATCCAACCAGTTCTTTATCCACCAAGTGGTCCATTCATCAAGTTGATGTCTCTCCAATTTAGAGACAATGATGTCATGTGTGACAGTGTCGAACGCTTTGCACCAGTACAGGTAGATGACATCAACTGCTCTACCCCTGTCCGTCAGTTCTGTAGCCCCATCATAGAAGGCCACCAGATTAATCAGGCAGGATTTCCACTTAGTGAAGCCATGCTGGCTGTCACCAAGCACCTTGTTGTTTTTCATGTGCCTTAGCATGCCTTCCAGGAGAATCTGCTCCAAGATTTTGCCAGGCACAGAGGTGAGACTGACTGGTCTGTAATTCCCCCGGTCATCCATTTTCCCCATCTTGAAAATGTCGGGAACTTCACCTGACTACCATGATTTTTCAAATATGATGGCCAGCGGCTTAGCAACTTCATTTGCCAGCTCCTTCAGGACCCATGGATGGATTTCATCAGGTCCCATATTTTTCAGCCTTACACCATGGCACTCTTCTTGCCGCATGCCATGTTTTTGAAGGACTATGCTCTTCATTGTGTGTCTGCTCCATGAAAGCCATTAAACACACCCATTCATAGATATGTATATTTCCTTATGCAGTGTTGCTTACATGTATGAGAGGGATGTATGTGTTGTAGGCAAAAGTAGCACAGGTCTGTATTATGGATATGAGCCACTGTCTCTGCATTAAGACCTACTGGTTTGTGATTTGGCTTTGGCAAATATTGCCATGGCCAGCATTCAAATCAGAGATCAGCCATCCATGCCCAGAAATGCTTCAAGTGTCTTCCATGCTCCTGTCCTCACAAGGGAGGAATATTGACCAACCCTGAATTTTGGTGGTGTTATGAGTGCATGTGTGAGCTGTTCTGCCTCATGAAGAGGCAGCAGGCATGAAAGCTATGCAAGCTCATCTGGAGTAACCCACAGAACTCCTGTTCATGCATGTATATGTTAATATCCAGGATACTTCTTTTGGAGTGCTTACGTGATAAAGCAGGTTCATGATATATTTCAGTCACATTTGACAGATTCAAGGGAGAGTCCAGCGGGATCTAACAAAGCAAAACAAATAGATGACATGGATGGCTGGAAATGTTGACAACGGTGAGAATAATGCATTTGACAGAATGTTATTCATTATGTCTGTCTGGGACTTTGACTGTCTGTGACAACTACTTCTGTCCTTCACAGAAGAA